GCTTTTTTCTCTGCTTGTTTTGTTTCAGAGCGCTACTTGCTTTTCTGCGTTGCTCCGCAAAATTGTGTTGATTTTTCTCTTCAAAGAGGCCAAGCGTTCCGTTACTGTGCGAAGGGATTTAGTAATATTCGGTACAGGGGTTGGACGTCCCTGAAGGCCTGCACAGGAACCCTGATGGGCGGCTTTGTTTCAGCATTGGAAATTTGCAAATTTCCTATCATTTTCAAATGCTTGGAGCCCACCCCAAATACAGTGCTGTGGGTTTGCACATCGTCTTCTGACTTTTCAGCAGTACCAGAACTAGACGTTGGAAAGGGAAGCATGCCATGTTGGGAGTTGATTGCTTGCGAGAGGTGGAAAACCATTCAGTTAGCCTACGGTGCAAGACACTTGGCCTGCATTTCGTACGTTCGGCCTGTCTTTTACAATTACCGACAGCAGCGCTTGGGGAATTTAGCAAAACACGCCATGAGAGGATGGCCGGCTTTTTGATGTGCATGACCGATGCTGTGACTGGCATGATGTTATGGCAACCTGACGTTTGGTGTTAAGCATTAGTTTATAAATATCTTCAAGAAAGGAAGATATGGTTGAGTGATGCAGGACATCAATGCAGTTTGGGCAAAATTCTGCAGGTGTGAATAGCTCCCAATATCGCCCGGCAGCTGCAAGGGCAATGAGTCACTGCCAGTGACCTCCTGTAACTTGAAGCTGTGCTGGTTTACACAGGAACGTGTTCATGCATACTACCCTTGGTAGCACACCTCTTCCTTGAATGGAGAGTCGCAGCAAGCTTTGCAGTACCAGTCGCCACTCATAATGTCTGTCCGCCACAGTGTGCCATGTTGGGCGGCAAAACCTGCCTTCCTGTTGATCGTGCAGCAAATGGGTGTGTAATTGCCGTGCACAACCACTGTTGACTGGGCTTCATCCAGATACTGTACAATCACTATGGATTAATGAGACGTCAAGACTTCATCCTTCTTGTGGCTAAATGGTAGCTTGCACTGGCATGTGTTTACAGCATAACAAAGCGACACATTTCCTCAGGGAAATCTTGACTCTTTAAAACGACAACAAAACGTCCATGCTGAGGCAGATAACAGTGTACAGTGTGGCGCACTGAATGCATTGAAATTGACATTCGCCAACAGGTCAGGTATCCGTCGCCTGCTTGTTGCGCACGGTGTGATAGATGACTCATGCTCTGCGGAGGAAGCCCTGCATGATGGCAACCGCCTTAGCGAGTCTTACGCCATCAAGTCCTTTGACAGTCTGCAAGAGGGCCTATCCTACTGCGAGGAGCATTTCCTGGACATCGCCGTCAGCTTTGACTTGATACCGCCCCCGGCTTCCTCAATGCAGCTTTCAGAAATCCTGAAGTCAAGCCTGTCTCTCCCAAAGGTATTCCTGTTCTTCCCCTCCTGCTGCAATGTGGTGCTTGTTCACGGTGCGCGGGGAGAGTGCTTGTCAGCTCTCTCCGCAGTGGATCTTGCCACCGTGCGCACAAAGCGCAGGTTTCCTTCTCTGGAGTTTGCTTGGCTTCAAAGCAAGAAGTGGACATTAAGCTGCCAAAAACCGTTTCAATCTGTTGGGAATTGTTGGGAATGCAGCTTTGGAACAATGCATTCCAATTCGTTGGTGGTGACTTTTGGGTACCTTCCTACTCGCAAGCTGTTGCTGCACTGCTGTCTGCGACTCCCGTGCCAAAGTCAGACAGATTGTGGGCTCCTTCTGTCCGCACGTCATGCGTAGCGCATGTTTCTCGCACACGCGGTCCAAATTGAAAAACGTTTTGCATATTTGATGAATACCTTCACCTTTGACAAGCAAATGATTGCCCTCCAGTAGATGTCTCTGCTGCGTTCTGCTGAATGGCATTGACACAACGCGCTGGTAGATTTGGGTAATTTTCGCTACCTTAGGAGGGCCCTGCGTCCTGAATCTGTGGTTAGAATTTGCTGCAACTGCCAAGCACTGGTGCACCAAGTGCATACAATCATTGATTGATCAATCCAGCGCACTTTGACACACCCTTCCTTGTTATAACCGGCGACTGCTTGCAGTACAGCTGCATTGTAGTGGTTTGAATGTGCAGAGCATAGTAGTTCAAAGCTGCGTTTTTTGAATTCGTTGCACTGTTTTGGGTGATTGAATGCTTTTGGAACCTCAGCTGAGCGCAGACCTGTTTGCCGCCCATGGGATTGTTGGCAGCTGTTTGCAAGGCTTGGGGGCACTCAGTACCTGTCGATGCATTGACTCTAGGGCTACACACCTGACGACATGGACTTCAAGAGCGCCGCCACTGCGCTGCAGAGTTTTCTGACAGTGAAGGAGCTGAAGGCAGGGGAGCGTCTGTTCAGCATCGGGGGCAAGGCTTTGGAGCTGTGCATCGTCGAGAAAGGAAAGATTGCTGTCGAGATTGACTTGATGAGAATCCACCACCCGTGCCTGGCCGACACGCATGTGCCTGAGAAAATGTCATTGCCAACGCAGTTGAGGGTTCTGGGCGTGGGCCCAGGCGGTGTCGTTGGCGAGATGGATTTTCTCCTTCGGCGCCCGCGCTCGTGCTACGCCTTTTGTGTGGAGGACTGCAGGTGTGGTGTTGTTAAGTCATCGTTTTCTTGACAGGAATCGCACTGCCTGTTGCACTTGATTCAGCACGAGAATGGGGCCCCGTTAACGGACTTGTGTCGCGTTCATTGTGCGCGAATACGATCGTTTGTGGTTCATGCAGAGTCAGCTGTTGTTTAGAAGGAAATAACACGAGTGGAGTTCCATGCAAGGGACTGTAGCAGAACCCCTGTCCACTCTCGCGCACCTGGTGCGCAAAGAAACACGCTGTTTCTGGTCTCAGCTGAGCCCTTGGACATGATAACCTTTGAGCTCCCTGCGACAATGGCCAAATGAACACGTCCTGCGACGGCACATGTGGAACCCACTCACCCCCGCTGGTCTGGACAAAATTTCGCTGGTCTCCAGCAGCGAACCACAGCGTTTGGACACATGACGCTTTTGTTGCGCCCCCGGGAGCGCATGCTCCTCGCCCAGTCCCTAATGCTCTGGTTGTGGATCAGAATGCGCCAACTGCTGAAACTACTGGGGGAATTAGCTACTTAACTGGGCGAGCAGTTGGACGCCGCCCCACAGTGTTTAGGCACGTGGATGCTGGGAATCTGAACACCTAGTTCCAGGTCCTGGGCCACTTCTCGCAGGCGTGGAACACTGGTTGGAAATTGCACCAAAAACGCCGTAAGACAACACAGCTCGGACCCTTTTTTAGCAGCAGCTGACCTTAGCGCCAGTTTAACCTCAGATACGCGTTGTCCTTACCACTCTGGCATGGCTTAAAACAGATGGAAACTGCGTGAATTCAGCAACTCACACCAGCGGTGGTGATGCACATATTGATCAGCCGTCGTTACCATCATTTGATGGACGCACGTTGCTGACGGCCGCGTTCCCGTGCACACGGGTCGGCCGCTTGCGTCTCCAGGCCTTTCCATTGTGAGCTTCCTCATCTCAAACTGAGCTCTCCTCATTCTCTACTGAAATCCCGAGTGTGTGTCCCCCCGCAGATTGCTTTGCCTGCACCACGACGCCATCGAAAGGATGGCCCTTCTTGCCCCTCGCATGCTCAACCTCATTCAGGCAATGCTGCTTCGCTCCACCAGCATGAGCCTCAGCCACGCGCTCCAGACGCTGGAGAGGGCGGGGCGCCTCCACTAAGGGCCCTGGTGGCAGCGCCGTCAAGTTTTGCGCCAAGGGCCCAGGGCGAAGCCTGGTCATGGGTTCGAGGCGCTTTGCTAGGAATGCAATAATGAATGCTCAGTCCCCCACTCGGAAGCTGCTTTTGAAGGAATGCCCCCTTAACCATTGATTTTTGTGTGCTTGAGAGCACGTCGAATTTTATGTGTTTGGAATTGAGATGGGATCTGGATGCTGGGTCAATCCCCACGGGCTTTAGACATTGTTAATTTTAGATTTTTCTATTCTTTGTGAACGATGGTAGCGTTCGGTTGCAGTTTTTTGCAAGCAGGCAAGCCTTCCATTTTGCTGGGCGAGCAGCAGCATTTGTAGGGCAGGGTTGGCCATCGGGTGGTTCGGACTGCCGCTGGACTCCCCACCTTTGTGGCGCACCGATTTTGGAGATCCCAGAACATTCGATTCAAGCGCGTTCAATTTATTTTTGCGAACAATTCGCAAACGCACTCGGCGGGCAAACGCCGTCTTGTTGCGCATGACGGTCGTTATGGCCTCGCTCAATATTGCTCAGCAGCGTTCAATTGGCGGCTTGAACCAAATTATGCCAACAACTGGGCCGTTTCGGCCCCTAGAAATTTGCTCGACATTCTGCCTGGCGAGGTGCGGTTGGCGGCTCCAGCACACCGTCAGTGTGCAAGCCATTTTCGCTGATCATCCCCAACTACCCTCATTTACGGATCCTCCAGATCCTCCAGCGGCGCAACTCAAACAACCGGAACTCCTGTGGACGAGGTGACCGCAAGCCCTCTGAACCTACCATCATGTACCGCCTGCGAGCACATGGAGAGCCGCGCGACATCGCTACTCACCGAGCTGCACCATCAAAGGGCCTTAGAAGAGCACTTACGGGGATGGTTTTAAGAGATTTTCGGCACAGAGCCGATCTTATTCAAGCCGCCTCAACGACTTTCCGCAAACACGGCGGCCCGCAGAGACCCACCAATTTGTTCTGAACACATCCGTTCCACTCTCGTTTCCATATTGGCCCCCCTGCCCAGCTTCGCGCCATGTCCCTTGTTGAGTTCAGTCCAGGCGAAGAGTATCGGTCCTTGATCCGACGTTGACCCTTGCCCATCGCTATATGAATGCCGCTTGGCCAAATTTTCACTGAGCCGCCCCAGAGGGGCGTCAGCCCGTCGTGGTTGAAAACGTCCACAGTGCGCCCAGACGCCCGTCCTGCAAGCCACCCAGCACTCCCCCACCCCCATCGGAGCACAGAGCCCAGTCACACGGGCTCACGAGGACCCCGCCGTTAGCGCCGCCACGCACTCCAGCTGCGCCACGACGTCCGGCAGGCTCGAGCAGTCCGGGGCGTCACTCGCCAGGGCGGGCCTGCTGGTGGAGTTCCCGGCGGCCGCCGGCGGCGCGCTCCCTGGCGGCGGGATCGTGGCCTCGGGCACGTCGCCGCCCAGCAGGGCCTCGATCTCGTCGATGTCGTCCTGGGTCTGGCATGCGCCCGCCGAGCACTGCCGGAGCCTCGGGTCGAAGATGTGCGCCACGCAGCCGCAGACCACGTCGAAGAGCCCGCCGGTGCTGATCTGAGTGTCCGCCCCCTTGGAGATCAGGAACAGGACGGCACCCCTGTTGCCATAGTAGGCTGCGATGATGACCGGCGTGGTGTCTTCAAGGGCCCTCGCGTTGACGTCGATTCCCTGCAGTCGCAAACGGGCGCCCGTGCGCATGCTATGAGCTCGTGCCGCCGAGGCGAATAGGGACATTCTGTGGCAGCGCCTTTGGGGGATTCCACAACCCGTTCTTGTACATTTGCAGCCCGGAAAAAAACAATCGAGCTCCAAATTGTACACTTTTGGGTGTGAAACCGGATCAGCATATCGTTCTATTCAGTGTGTATTGACCATGTTGTACCAGGGCAGTCCGCAATGCAACAATACATATACACAAACTGACCTTGGACCTGCATGGTAATGCAAACCCTGGCTACATTCCCAAAGCCCCTGTACTGGCGCACTAACAGTCTCCATCCCAACCCCAACAGTAGAGCTGCCTGTGAACTGACGACTTCCATTTTCTTTTAGTTGCTGGTTCAATGAAAATGAGCATGGCGCCACATGATCCGCAGGTCGACGAATTGTTGCAATTTTTTCACAAAATTCCGCAGAAGTCAATGACATTTTGTGGCAAGGGATGCCATTCTGGAGTGACCAGTCTGGATACTTTGCTAGTTGCTTGCTGCTCTAAGTGGCTCTTGTGACTTTCATGCACTCGTTCTGGCATGGTCAAGAGTTGCAAATCCTTTGGTACACGGGGATCACGAATGGCCTCATTTTCATTTATGGCAAGCATGGAATGGGTTCGCACAAGAGCAGCAACACTCCTTAGCGGGACAGGTTGAAGGCCTGGAACCTATACAGTTGCATCGGTCCAAAGGCCGGCTGTGCATTTGTCATCAGTCTTCGGGGATAGGCATACAATTGGTGCAGTGACTTAGGTGCTGCTTGGTTCAGCTGCTGCGCTGCAGATTCGTTTACGCGGAATTGTCACAGGACGTGTGGACAAACTCTTCGCAGCAAAAAGGAATTTGGCAACAGGTGCAGTAAAGAGATGCAAGGGAACAATTCGTTATGAAAAAAAGCACGAGATCCTTAGAAACTCACTGATGGCATGACTGACGGGCATGAAAAGATGTTGGCCAACTTCAAACAGCTGACACACTAGCACTGCAGCATTTTGCTCAAGCGGCACCCTTACTAGTACAAATGCTCTGAGTTTTGGGGTGCACTAACTGTAAAAGAGATAGTGTTGTCATCCAAAGACCACAGCACAGATTGGATGCCCTCCCAACACCGATGCACAACACACCTCGCCAAGGAGGATGTTCATGATCTTCTCCGAGCCCGATGCAGTGGCAGCCATGTGCAATGCGGTCAGGCCTTCTGCAGTCGGAATCGTGACATTGGCCCCCGCGTCGATCAGGGCCCGCACCGCTTCCAGGTGATTGCCTTCAGCAGCAAACATTATGGGTGTACTCTGCGACCGGGGAGTTCTGACATCGGGGTCTGCACCGGCCCCGATGAGCAGCTCAATGACCTCTGCACCGCCAGCAGTGGCGGCGACATGCAGGGAGGTACCGCCATTTGCCATTGCCTCAATGTCGGCATCCGCCTCAATTAGCAATTTAACAACAGCGGGATGGTTGAAGAATGATGCCACCCACAAGGGTGTCAGTCCGATGTTGTCTGTCGCGTTGACATCTGCTCCTGCATCTAGCAGTATGGTGACGATCTCCTCAAGACCCCTTGTTGAGGCCAGTATGAGGGGGGTCTCCCCACCAGCAGCTGTTTGTTCTACATTGGCACCATCGTTGATGAGCCTCACGACAGCCTCCTCGTCACCAGCGGCCACTGCATCTATAAGGTGCTGCATGAACAAAGGCTGATGTGTAACCACACATGGAATCACAGCCGTGCCAACAGGCCGTCATGGCTTGACAGAGAAGCATGCAGTTGAGTGAAGTAAATGGGCAGCAGCATGGCAAGGGATCAAAATGCACAGTCATGTCCATGCACACATTGTGGGCTACTCTCACAGTGGATAGCGCTTGGAAGATAAGCAATGACCTGCGACCAAAATCTATGGAGAATGCGGTGATCGACCCCTCTGTCACTGCTGCTGTTTGCTAGCATGTGTCTGCGAGGGTGGCAAACATGGGGATGGGACAAGCTTGCCAATCTTGCACACTGGGCATGTGTAAAACTAGTGCAAAGCACTGCACTTCTGCAGATGAGCGGCTTAATGTTGCTGTTGCTGGCAAAAGCCTGAGCGATTTCGCAAGTGTGGGAGAGGAACAGTTTCCTCCACATGGGGAACAGATGTGAGGGCAGCTGCCAACACGCGGGACATACGCAACAGCGCCTTGTTTGTGCTCGAACACATCTGCTCAAACGGCCCAAAACAATGAAGCTGCTGTCTAGTCCTCAATTGAACACAGCCACCCATTGCAACGTTTGCTGACAGTAACAAGATCGTTGGAATTCAACCAAAGCCAACATCCCAATGCTTTGCCATATGCTGAATTGAAACCAGGACATATTCCAAGAATGAAACACACCTGTTCCCTCACAAGAAAGTCCTCCTTGATGGCACAAGAATGCTGCATCAAAAGGACTACAAGCAAACACATCCTGAATGCTGCCAGTACATATAAGTGCAGGCCTGCAAAACAATACTTTTGGTGCATCATCTTCCTGCCATAAAGCTCAACACTGTCCCGTCCCTGCAGATCAGCCAATGCCCACTCTTTCATGACAATAGATGTCATGCACAAGTACACAGACTGCAAAAGACAGCAAGTCATGGTCGTGGTGGCTTGGGGATCAGCACTATCAACTGTTCGTACACTGCTCACTGTATTCAGTCCCCACCTCGATCCCATCCTCAATGCCCAGAAGATCATGGATCTCGTCTATGTCTTCCTTTGACTGGCAGTTTTCAGGTGGACACACCGATCCTTGGTTTGTGTCCAGGCAGCCACACACAGGAATTCCATTGAGAGACGGATTAGCACCCTGCACAGCAGCACACTTCGTTGATGCACCCTGCGGGATGCCAGCTGGGTCTGCATGAAAAAACACTTGACGACTTAAAGACCACTTGCATTTGCTATTGTAGAGCTGAGGTGACCAGTGTGGATGGCATGACGCCCATCTCTGCTTTTGCATTTGCTTTAATTTGTATCCGGGAGCCTGACAGACTGTGAGTTTGATCGACAGTGATGTGGAGCAGTCGACACTGGGCGCAAAGTACAACTACTGGCTCGTTATCTTTGTAATGAACAATTTGGAATCGAGGCTGGCATTACCGTGTAGCAGTATGTATGTGCATGGATATGCAGATGGACGTTCATGAATATATTTTGTGCACATGTATCCGCAAGGGCAGCTTTGGATCCTGTCTTGGCAAATGCAATAGCTGGACTGCAAGCACACCAACAATGAATTTTCATCATTGTTCAGACAAAATACTGCACTCCACAAACCTTGGGCTGGAATGTTTTTAATGAAAGCACTGCACTGCGGGAATTAGCCCCAAAAATTGCTGCAGGAACACTCCCCCAGACACAAGTTGCCTGTTGTGCTCCTCTTCAATCTAATAACAATGTGATGGATCCATGCAACAAGTCTATTTAATTAAAATGTTTAGTGTAATCTGTACATGCAGCCAGAGCATCAAATCCAAAAATTAACTTTGCAAAGATTGTGGCAAGGTCAACGCAGCTATGGACATGGACTATATTTCCAACTGTGGATATTGGGGAAGTGCTCCTGATGTCTGTTATCATCGATCCGCAGCCCCTGTGCCAACATGACAGTGCCTACACACATCGCAGCTATCACAGTGTCATGCTACTCTTCTGCAAGTAAGCGCTTAGGTGATCAGCTGGGATAGTGGACAGTAGATGCGCACACTGCCCTGCATCCCCTGCAGGTGGCCCAAACAATATTAAGCCTGCCTTGCGCACTATATCAAACATTGCGTGACAGATATCTTTGCCAAATTGTGGAAACATGCTCCAAGAGGCGAATTTTGTATTTAGTTGGCTCTCTGTGTCCTTATTCTCGCAACATGAATACTACAAGTACTATATGTAACATATGAATAATCAAAATCAATCAATGCTTTCATGGTTGCCCTTTATCTTGATTCTTTTTGCACTCAGCTCCTGCTCGTGCCTGGTTTGCTTTGCAAAGTTGCAGCATATAGCCAAAAGAGCAGCAAAAAGTGCACATCAATTGTCACAATTCTTGTCATAAGCACAGCCAGTGGCTTGGGCCCACAAATGTGCCTTCTCCAAATTTTCAACGAAATCCTTGGCATCATTTGCGCCACAGACTCGACACACTGGACAGTGTCACTTCGAAACAGGAGCTACATAGATTCCACACATGCCAAACTGAGCTGCATTACCCACAGGATTGCAATTCGTTTGCTCTGAAACACGACTACGATCACATCCACAAGCGGTGAATATCATTTCCGAAGAATATCACTTCCATCGATGCACACAGTCTTGGGGCATGGTGATGTGCTTGTGAGGTGCACCTTGCTTGAATCCCACAATTGGCTGGCATCAATTGGGAAGCCGGAAGTACGGTGTCATGGAATTGAACCAACTCACCTTGGACAACAGAAACTCGATGTTGGGCTTGTCTCCAATCCAAGCAGACAAGTCTATGGCTGTCTGTCCTTCTTCGGTTGTGGCATTGATGTCCATCCCCTTGTCGAGGAGCACCTCCATTATAGGGGTGTTGCTTGGCTCAAGGGCAGCAAGGTGTAGCACACCAAGGCCTTGTAAGGTCATCACCTTGAGGTCGGCACCCCTTGCAACCAGCACATCGAAAGTCTCCAGATTTCCAAATCCAGCGGCATACGAGACGGCAGTGTAGCCACGATTGACCACAGTTGCCTCGATGTCTGCTCCCGCATCCAACAGCAACTGAGGGGTAAACAATCCCATTGTGAATTGAATTGTGGAACATGTGGACATCAACAAACAACACAATGCAACTTTCCACAATGAAGCAAAGTGGCCAAACTTTCACCTGCACTTAGTCATCCGAAGGACAGTATCATGGGCTGCACAACACGTGTACGGGTTTGGTAAGACGGATTCTGAGTGGGTTGTATGGGACTTGTCACAGTTGAGGTGTGAGCACAGGTCACATTTCGATTCAAAAAGTTAGAGGAAAGGAACCAATATCACTTTGTTTCTGATCAGTCAGGGACTCCTGGAATGCAAATATCTCCTGTTTGAGATTGTGCATTCACTCCATACGATCAACTTGTTGGGAATTTCGTCGCCCTGCACTTTCCTGTAAGCTGGCACAAGGCCCGCACACCTTCTGTTTGGATGGAGCTCGTGCCTGGACTCTTTTCAATACTTACGGAATCCAACATAACAGCACATAGGAATCGTGCATATATTCAGCAACATGCAGCAGGTACTGACTTTGCCCCAAGTAATGGAGGGGTTGTGTGTGTGTGCTTGCTGACTCACGTTGATCATTTCTGCGGTTCCGAATGCGGACGCAAAGTGCAGTGCTGTCCTGCCATTTCGTGTCTCGGCATCCACTGTGGCATTTGCATCCAGAAGCTCCTTCATGACATCAGCGGTCTGCAGCCGGCCCGACTGCATGAGGGGTGTGGATTCGTCACGTGCAGCATCAGTATTCACATCAGCACCTGCCTCCACTAAGACTTTCACAACAGAGAGCTCCTCCGCATCTACAGCAGCATACAGAGGTGTGATTCCATCCTCATCTGGAATCTCAGTGTCCGCACCCTCCTGTGGCCAGAACAGAATAAGAATCAAAGCAGCAAAATGCAGAAAAGAAAGAAGCAAGCAACGCAAAGAAAAAGGGAAACGAAACTACAGAGCACATGCAGCAAGGTTGAAAGAGGGAAGCCCCTGTCGGCCATTGGACCCCTGGTTCGATGCTCTGCTCCATGCAGGCGCAACACTGATAGCAGTGGGCAGTAAATGAGTTGCAAGCAGCGACAAGAGCAATCAAAAGAGCCAAAGGTGTTGACAGCTCTGGGGTTCCAACTCCAACTTTCCAGATGGCAATGGGATTGTTTGACAGGTGCTACACTGTCAAAGAGCACAAGTGAAGCGCAGCAGGCTGTGGATAATCTAAGCGCCAGCATATCACAGTCCTTGCATAACAATCTTGTCAGGCAACTGCAAGGCCGTTCCAGTGCTCTTGCACTGTAGTTGCGATCATTCCTGACTAATGCTGCATCAAAATTTGGCCTGATCTGTGTCTTACCACAACCAGAAGCTCAACTATGGTAGCATTGCCCAGCGGCGCAGCCAAACGAAGTGCAGTTCCTTCAATTTCTCCTTGGGCATTGATGTCAGTGCCAGCCTCCAAAAGGACCCTAAAAGCAAGGAGTTCTGTCCATCAGGTGATTGGGGAGACTCACCACCATCAACTGCAAACAGTGGCGAATGCATAATCTGATGCTGCATATGGACTCTTTTCTTGTTGCATTCTTTGCAGCCTAAATATGGACAAGTCCATTGTAGAAACAGCTTCCCCTAATGGCATTAGGCAGCCCTGGGTCTAATTAGGTTCAGTTCACAGCAGGTTTTGCAAAAGTAGAAAGATGCAATTTCCTTTCACAAGGACTGCACCTTGTTGCTGACACAACCATCGGGGTCCAAGCTGACAGTGCAATTTAGGAATTGAGGCCAGTCTGCTCTTGGTTGCTTGCCATCGACATATGTCATCCTCACCTGCCACTTGGATCTTTCTCCCTGCAAATGGTGAAGCCAAGTTCGATCGACTTGTAACATGCTCCAAGGTTTGCAGTTTTGCACTGGATAAATCACAGGCCGGTGCATGGGAATATGTGATGCACACGTGTGCTTGCATGTCATTGTGCTTGGCGACCAAAACAACAGTCAACCATTCCCAAGATTGTCGCAATTCGCACCTCACGACTTCACTGGAACCGCTGATAGCACCAAGAATCAAGGGTGTGTTTCCACTGTCATCTGTAGTGTTTACGTCTGCTCCATCTTCAAGTAGTTGTTTCACTTCATCCACGTCGCCGTCAGCAGCAGCATCCAAAAGCATCTGCTCACAAACCCCAATCTTAAGGTGACATTTATAATTGGACAGGTATTGAAACAGGCAATAATTGTTGAGGTATTTCGTTTTTAGGACAAGCAAATGCTGCAACGCCTCCCCTTTGAATTGGGGTCTCTCCAAGGACTTGCGCCTGCAGTTTTCAACTTGATTTCAACTTGCTTTCAACTGACTGGCAATCTTATGGAATTTCACCCTGCACCAGCCCAAGGCAGCACACATTTGCAAGGACCTGAACACCCTTTTTGGAATTCGCAATGCCTTTCATTTTGTTGTTAGGTGGAACAAAGCTCAACTTGACCAAAGTAGTGCATTCAGGTGTGGCCAGCACATAGTGAACATTGACATATCCCTGTGCACATAGATATCACATCCCACCGCATACATAACACTATTAGCACAGTGTGTGTGCGCATACATGTGACACCCGGAGCAAGAAGCCCAGTGTGCCTGTTCCCACAGGGCGGAGTATGTCAAGGACAAAACCTGAATGAAACATGACAGGATGGGAAGCATGCAAACAGTTAGATTTTCGTTATTCCAGAGTACAGTCACTCAATCTACAGAGAAATATAATCTCAGGGAGGGCCACAGCCTGACAAACCATGCAACTCACTTCATTCTTGTCTTCTGTTGCTGCTTGTCTAAGTTTTCGGGCGCTCTGAACCCCATCGTGCAAAGCTACCGAGAAGTCGACCCTGCTCCGTGGATCTGTACAGAAGAAGCACAAGCTGCATGAAGCCCACGCCGGCAATCAGAACAACGAGAAGAATCAGGGCACTCAAACAAAATTCGTCACCCTGCAGGACTGCTGTTCTCTGCCAGCCCAACCCCATACCCAGAGAAAGAGAAAGCAAAGCAAGTTGCCCAAGGCCAGGGGCATAGCTTGGCACTTCTCTGCACTAGTTTTGGCAGACGACTGCTCAGGATGAGGGATTTATGCTTGCTGCATTTCCCTCCAGGTACTCACCATTTCTGGCAACACAGGTGACAATGCCCAACAGAGTCTCGCCCTGACTCTACTGACTACATGCTCTAAACATCACATGTGCGTTTACTTTACCCAGAAAACGCTTAGGACTGCCTATGTGGCATGGGTTGGGTGTGTGGGTCTAAGGGAAGGGGATGTGTGTGCAAGTCCCATACAGCATGGCTTTTGAAGCAGGAGATGCCCATGAATTTGTGTACGACAACTTGAAGTACCATCTGTCATGCTGCCTTGTAGTTATTATGGCAGTTCTCTGTCTAGGTATTGCAAACATGACTAAAATCGATTTTAGGACTTCTGTGCCATACCGCATCCTCGTTTGGTCAATGCAAATCTGACACATTTCGCTAGTTGGAGACAAGGCGGTCAAGAAAAGAGCAATTGAAGATAAGCACACAGGCAAAGATGCCAACTGACACCTTGTCATCAGCCGTCAATTGTTTCTGCAGCTCCTGACGATGCCAAAGCAGCCCAAAATCAACTGGATATTCCCATGCTAGTGGACACACACCACTCCGTGCACTTGCAAATAGTAGCTGATGGCCCTGCAATTGACCTCAACCAGAGAGAAAACTACCCCACTCACACAATTTGCTGCTTGCTTAAACAGTTTTGAATGTCTCAATGCCATGCATCACTGCTGTGAACTTTACACTGGTGCGATTGTTTGCATTTGAGCCACGTATCTGAGCTCTTGTTTTGCGTCATCGAAGCACCATTAAGCTGCATATGGTCGCCACCAGGGTACTGAAGGGAAGCGTCCATGGGAATGCCACAAAATCACAGGTAGCTGCTAAGCACCCTGGCATTCGTCTTCCTTTCAAAAACTGTACAACATCGCATCAGCTGCTGGCGACCATGACAACGCACACGCGCAGTGCATCACGACATACGAAAGAAACGAAAAGCCAGCTGGGAGATCGTCTGGTTTGCTAGCGGTTGAGTTGAGTACCATCAAGACAGCTGGTTCCCTTCTTGTTGTGGGAAGTTGGTACTGCTTTCTTTTTGTTGCTTTACTTGTGATAACCGCAGTGAGCAGTAATTGGATGCTAGAGGCAGGGCGAGAGACATATTGTCTGGCAAAGGCACAAACATCTGGTGGATGACATCTGCCCCCAAGTTACATAGGGCTTTTATGCCTGCAACAGCGCTGCCGTCAGTCAGTGGTTGCCATCCTAAAGAGAAGCCACCTCGCCCGTGATCTTCTATTTCTGTGGCAGTCAGTGTCTCCGCGCGGCTCCACATGGCTGCGGTCACTCACAGGCGACAGGAAACTTGAGGACACACGTTGCAACCGTGCCCTGCTCGCCACACTCCACTGGATCACTGTAGAGCTGGAGTAGCTTCTGCAGAACTCTGCCTTTTCTAGCTGGTTGCTTGGTGGGTTGGTGGGTGGGTGTCTTTTGTTTCTGTTGTCCTTGCTGCTTTTTGTATTTGTTCCTGTTTCTGAATTTGTTTTGGTTTGTTTGTTTGTTGCGGGGTGGGTAGCCAGCCGTTTCGAGTAGTGACTCGCGTGTCGAGTGAGGAGACGCACTTTCAAAAAGAAGAAATGGCAGGCTCTAATTGCCTGCCAACGCCGAGCCACCGGACATTATCCAGCGGACATTATCCGTGGTGCGGCGTTGGCAATCCATCTGGTGGCCGAAAGGCGTAACGCAGCGTAACAATGTGAGCGTAACTCCCGCTCGCATGGATTCCCTGGGCGTCCTTTCCACCATGCCGATCAACAACCTGCACCAACAGGCAGGGCCCTCCTTGCTTCCTGCCGCCTCAAACCGAAAGGCCAAAGGGCGCGGCCGCGTTCCCGCGGCTCCAGCCCCCGCGGCACCAGCGACGCCTCGCAAACGCACCACCCACCCCGCGCTGGCTGAAAATCAGCTCTCGCAGCGCCTTCCCAGGTTTGCCGCCGATGCCACCGACACCTCTTGCCCCCACCCACCCATTTCACGACGTCAAAAGTCAGGCAGAGAATCCACCATCACGCCCCCAGCCCGCTACCCTGCTGCCATCTGCCCGCATCCCCATCCGCTTTCCCCACAAGGACGACAGCCCCAAATGTAGGCTATGTATGACATATATGCCTCCCCACCCTCCCACCTGGGACCCTTCCGAGCCTGGGCGAGATTTCGCTCGCCAGGCTCCTGAGCGCCGTGTCTCCCATCAGCCTCGGCTGCTGCGCCGTCCAGGACAGCCCCACCCTGGCGCCACCGCACGCCGCTGCGCCCAGCAGCAGGATCCACAGCCAAGCCCACGCGGGCACGGCCCGCGGCGCTGCCATGCCGATCGAACGGCCTCCCGAAGACAGCACAGGGCAAGATGGGAGATGGGAGATGGCTACAGGTGCGCAGTTGTAGAGCAAGGAAAAGTTGTTAACCGGCCGTGGGGCAGTATCGGAAGGGGCTTGCGCGACCAGTGCGTGTTGGAGTGTCGACCACGGGCGCCCTGTGTGGCCTGGTCGCCTAATCGCTCGCGTTATGAGGAGGGGAGCTGGGTGGGAGGGCCCCGTCCGACGGGCGGGCCACGCGGCCACAAACTCATTGCCAGTTCGCAGTCCTGGGCAGGGGAGGGTTGACGCGGGGCTGACGATGGGGGGCGTGACAATTTTTGCAAGGTTACGACTGGCACTGTCCAACGTCCAAAGTACACCGGGGAACGGGACAAGGACTGTGGCAGTATCTTGGGAGCCGCACGACGACTCGATGGCCCAATGCAGGCGCGGTGTTACCGCAAGCATCCCGTTGTGGCCAACCACCCAGACACGATGGATAGGGAGCAACAGGCAAATTTGCCAGTGGCCCCAGATGTCCTAGACCCTTCATGAGTGAGACGAACATTGGGAAAAACAACCGACATACTGTTCTTGTGCAGTTTGGTTGCGGCATAGCCCTCTATGACTGACACGCAATTCATGGAATTTCATCATCATCAGCAGCAGCATATTGGACCCCTTGCACGGGACTGCACCCGGCCTGTGATCTTAGGCACGGGTGACAACAAATGAATCACTGCGCCCGTGACACGCTGGGGCCCGCGCCAAAACGTGAGCGTCCCTGTGGATCCGTGCCGACGTCTAATCTCTCAAACACAGACGTATCCTTTATTGGACTCTTCGTCACAGTCCCCCGAATCTGTCATGTATGGCGCCATCTCTTCTGCGACCTTTGCAGCCGCAAGCAGGTCAAGCTCTGTTTTGGCCATAACCTGGGTCAGGAACATAAAACAACAACTCCTTTCCTCATTATTTTCAAAGGTGGGTGAGTTGCTTGGAAGGGGCAGCAGGAATTGGGCAAGGGTTAAAGTATTTTGTAGACGAATTCAATGCGCCAACAACGTCCCTTTCGAGGCACAAATCGCCCCTTTCGCCGATCTGGAAATTGTTCGTTGGAACCGTTGTTTACAGTTTTTTGTTTGGGAGAATCACCATTTCCAAAAACCAACACCCAATTGGAGCACAGAGCCGCAGACACCACGGCACGCCCCCTCACGTGGGCTGCGCCGTTAGCGCCGCCACGCACTCCAGCTGCGCCACGACGTCCGGCAGGCTCGAGCAGTCCGCGGCGTCGCTTGGCAGGGTGGGCATGTCGGTGGAATTGCCGGTGGGCGCCGGGGGCGTGCTCCCTGGCGGCGGGATCGCCGCCTCTGGCACGTCGCCGCCCAGCAGGGCCTCAATCTCGTCGATGTCGTCCTGCGACCGGCACGCACCCGCCGCGCACTGCCGGAGCCTCGGATCTATGATGTGAATCACGCAGCCGCAGACCACATCGAAGGGCCCGCCGTCGCCGATCTGCGTGTCCGCACCCCTAGAGATCAGGAACAGGACGGCGCCCTTGTTGCCATAATAGGCCGCCAGAACGACAGGCGTGGTGTCTTCAGTGGTCCTCGCGTTGACGTCGATTCCCTGCAGTGGCAGACACGCGCGCGCGGGCATGCTTGAGCTCATTCGGCCAAAGGGCATGGGGACATTTGATGGCAGTCCGCTGGGGGGGTATTCACGGTGTTCTTGTGCATTTGCAGCCCATTCTTGGGGCTTTTTGCTCAGAGCTCGAAAAGAAACAGTCGAGCTCCGCAATGAACACCTTTGGCTGTAAAACTGAATCAGCATATTGTCTTACCCGGTGTGTAATGGCCATGTTGTAACAGGCCCTTGCACAATGCAACAATACACACGCAGAAACGGACCTTGGACCTGCATGGTAATGCAAACCCATGTGACAGTCCCGAAGGCACTGTACTGGCACACTGATAGTCTCCATCCCAAACCCAATAGCAGATCTGCCTGTGAACAGATGACTTGTGTTTGCTTGTTTAGTGGCTGACTCAATGACAGTGAGTGAGGCGCCGTGTGATCTGCGGGTCAACGAATTGTGGCAAATTTTCGAGGTGTTGCAGAAGTCCATGACATTTCGTAGCAAGGCATGCGTGTTGCTCTATGTGCATTTTGTGACTTCTATGTACTCGTTCTGGCATGGTCCAGAGTTGCCAACCTTTTGTTACTTCGGGGCCGCAAATGCTCTCATTTTCCTCTACGACAATCATGGAATGGGTTCACACATGTGCAGCTACGCTGCTTATTGGGACTGGTCGAAGGCCTGGAATCTGTGCAGGCACATTGCTCCAACGACTGACTGGCTGCACATCTTGCCAACAGCCTTTGGGGAAAGGCATACAATCGCTTCACTGACTGTTCACCAGTGCCCAGAGCTGGGGAATTCTGAAACAAGCAGTGAATGTAGGAATTGCTTGGTTCGGCGGCCTGGCTGCAGATTCCTTCAGGCAGATATGTGCCCACAAGAAGTGTGGACAACTCATCACCAGCCAAAGAAATTTGGTAACAGGTCCACTTAAAGATGCATGGGAACAGTTCGTTGTGAACCTTAGCACGAAATACACAGAAATTCACTGGTGGCAAGACTGAAGGGCTCGAGAATATGTAGGTCACCTCCCAACTGATGACACAGTAACACTGCAGCATGTTTGACCAAACAAGACCCTTCTAGTAAACATCTTCCGGGCATTGGGGTACAATAATGCAAAAGAGACAGTTTGTCAACCAAGAACTGCAGCTTAAAAGTGGATGTCTTCCCAATATCGGTACACAACGCACCTCGCCAAGGAGGATGTTCATGATCTTCTCAGAGCCCTGCTCTGTGGCAGCCATGTGCAGTGCTGTCAGGCCAGTTACAGTCGCAATTGTGGCGTTGGCACCCCCGTCGATCAGCGCCCGCACTGCTTCCAGGTGATTGCCACCTGCAGCAAATAGTATGGGTGTGCTCTCTGATGGGGGATTTCTGGCATCGGGGTCTGCACCGGCGCTGATGAGCAGCTCGATGACCTCTGCGCTGCCAATTCTGGCAGCAACATGCAGTGAGGTACCAAAATCTTCCATCACCGCCTCTATGTTGGCATCCGCCTCAATTAGCACATTGACAACAGAGGGGTGGTTGAAGAATGATGCAGCCAACAATGGTGTCAGGCCAATGTTGTCTGTCGCGTTGACATCTGCCCCTGCATCTAGCAGTATGGTAACGATCTCCTCGAGGCCTCTTGCTGATGCCAGTATGAGGGGGGTGTCCCCATCAGTGGTTGTTTCATCCACGTTGGCACCATCGTTGATTAACCTCAGGACAGCCTCCTCGTCACCAGCAGCCACAGCTTGTAGGAGGTTCTGCATGGCCAACAGGTGGTGAGTAACCTCACCTGGAACTGCAGCTCTGCCAACAGGCAGTCAAGGCTGGACAGAGAAACATGCAGTTAAGTGAAGGGCACGAGCTGCAGCATGGTAAGGGATCAAGATGCTCAGTTGTGTCCACCCACAAAGAGTGGGCCGCTCTCGCAGTGGATAACACTTGCAGGACAAGCAATGCCTTAAAATCATGATCTGTGGAAAATGTGGTGATCGGCCCCTCTGACTGCTGTTTGTTGACATGCGTCTGCAACAGTGGCACATGCTTGCCAGTCTCGCACACTGTGAACGTCTCAAAATAGTGCAAAGCTTCGCACTTTCGCAAATTGGTGACTTGTTGTTGCTGTTGTTGGCAAGAGCATGAGCACTTTTTGTGAGTGTGCAGCACAAACACCTCTGCTTCACACGGAGGAAAGGTGTGAGGGCAACATTCAGCATGCAGGACATAGCCAACAGTGCCTTGGTTGTGCTCCAATGCATCTGATCACATGGCCCACAACAACAATGCCGCTGCCTATTCCTCGTTGGAATCACAACCGCACAATGGTTTTCTTCTTGACTTTGCCAACATCCTTGGAATTCAATCAAAGCCAACATCCCGATCCTTGCCATATGCTGACAATTGCAGTCAGGTCGTATTGAAAAGAATGAAACACAGCCATTCCCTTACAAGAAAAGTCCTCCTTGATGCCACAGGAAATGCACCAAAACACTACCTACAAGCACATCCTGACTGCTGCCAGCAAAATGTAAGCGCAAGCTTCGAAGACAATAGCTTTGTGCATAATCTTCCCACCACAAAGCTCAACATTCGCCCGTCTCTGCAGAACAGCCACTTGCTACTTTTTCATGCCAAATAGAACGTCAAGCACAAGTGTACAGACAGTGGAAGACAACAAATCATGGTCTGTGGTTTGGGGATCAGCATTATCACCTGTCCATATATTGCTTATTGTGCTCAGTCCTCACCTCGATCACGACCTCAACGCCCAGAAGCTCATTGATCTCGTCTATGTCTTCCCTTGACTGGCAATTTTCGGGTGGACACCTCGAATCGTCGTCCACATCCAGGCAGCCACATACAGCAATTCCGTTGAGAGAGGGACTAGCACCCTGCACCACACCACACATTGTTGGTGCAACCTGAGGGATGCCAACAGGGTCAACGGGAAAAAGGACCACTTGTAGATACACTTGTGGAGCTGAAGTGAACAGTGTGGATGGCATGATGCCCATGTCTCTGCCTTGGGTTCCCCTTGATGTGTATTGTGGAGATTGTCAGATTGTGAGTTTCATGGACAATGATGTGGAACAGTGAACACTCAGTGGAAAGCACGACTGCCGCCTCGTTATCTTTGCACTGACAAGGCTGGAATTGCAGCTGGCATGACCTTCCAGCGGTATGAATGTGCCTGGATACGCACACTCAAACTCATAAGTGTTTAGTCATGCGCATGTATGTGCAAGGGCAGGCTTGGATCCTGGCTTGGAAACGCAATAACTGGACTGCAAGCATACCAGCAATGAATGTTCATCATTGCTCACACATATGCTGTATTGCACAAATACTGGGCTCATTTTTTGTGAAACATTGC